GTCTACGAGGGTACGTGGACAACACTCTCCCCTCTCGTTGCTATGCATCACCATGATCCTGCGTGTGCGTAGGAATTTTTTTGAAATTACTACGTTCCCCAACAGGCTGCACCTTCACGCGTGACGGAGATGGTGGCGATGGCCACATCTGATGGAGCAAACCCTCCATCAGCAACTCGATCTTACGGATGAATTCTTCATCCGTTACCGTGGCCTCCGAGAGGAGTCGGGGCCGCTGCTGCGGCGTCAGCTCCGGCTGATGCTATGGGGCCTGGTCCTCCTTGTCGCCGGAGGAGATGACAATGTCCTCCTGGGCGGAGGTGCCGGCCTCCGTGGATGCAGAAGGGCCCGGAGAGCGACGGCGACGTCGCCAAGAACCACCGGAGGAAGAGCTTCTGCCGATGCCGCCTGCTTGCGCGGAGCACCATGACTTCGACATCGCTTCTGGGATCGAAGAGGAGGAGGGCTCGGCGAGGTGGGTGACGGGAAGGCGGAGGAGTGCGGCAGTGTTGCGGGAGGGGCATTGAGGCTCTGTGCTTCGCCGGAGCACGACTTATAAAGCTGCGTCCAGGCCATGCGAAGGGGCAGTCAGTCCGCTTCAATGCGGCACAGCGGCCGGAGTCTGTTCCTCGGGAAGCTGCATCTGCATTGAAGCGGCGGCTCCCGAGAGGTCGCGTTGGTCAGCGCCACCCTCCGTCCCTCCAGTAACACCGTTGCATCAATGTCGTCTGCTGCGTGTCCTGGGCTGGCATGAGTGCGGCGTGTTAAGCGGTGCGTGCATCAGAAGGAAAGCGCGAGGAGGGGCGTTTGGTTTTTTGTGGGCAAGGGCGGTCAGAAGCTGGCTTGGGAGCGGTCCGGACTCGTGCAAAGCCCCCCATGTTTGTCTTCGGTTTATGGGAGAAATCGCGTCCAGATCGCGCCGCAGACTGATACAGAGTTACAGACCCACTTGGATGGCTTCCGCTGTCCGGACGCATGCGGGAGGTTTACGGGTCCGCTTTGGAGATGCCCTGAGACCTCGATGCAACGTGTAGGACATCCATCGTAGAGGGATTACTGTCCTAACTGAAGTCATCACTGTTGATTAGACTGATTTGTTTCTATGTGAGTCAGATGTTTGGATAAGAAGGCTGCCATTCCTTTTCTCTGTATTGTTTTATTTAGATGCCCTTTCTCTTGTTCTGGTGAGCAACATATTGCTAACAAGTTTGGGTAGCTCCAGTTTCGCGCTGTTCACAGCGTTCGCGCCTGCCCCAAATTCGTGGCGGACCAACAGAAATGGAAAGCCCGGACACGAGCTTCCGTGCGGGCAGAAGCAAGAAAGCTCGGATGTCACAGGTGGGGAACAGAGTAGGTCGCTTGCGGCACCATCACAGAGATCACATACACCTGTGTCACCCTAACTACCAGTACACGTATGCTGTCTGGTTTTCCAAATGAATCCATAACACACCAACTTGTTACGCTGTCTTTGTTACTGGCACTGACAGGAAATGCGATCTAATGACAAACTCTTAATATAGTATTGAGCAGTCCAATCTGGTGCAAGTTAGGTAAGTAACAACCATGGTTTTTACGGTGGTGGTTGGTAGATCTCGCCCCTTTGCAGGCAGCATCTCACCCATCGCACTCCGGGCGATTCAGGTGAAAACGTGAGCCCGGGGTGTCCTCTTCACTCATCAAGTGTCAAATGGGCATGATGGGATTTTCCCATTTCGGTGCAAGTTGGGCACAGTGGTCAGCAAGTAACCATGATGTTTACGGTGGCGTCAAGTAGATTTCGTGCCGAATTGACGTGTGGATCCTAAAACGTAATACTCTATGCCAGCCACCTTCGCTTGAGTCCCGGATGAGGTTACCCGTCTTTCTCTGCATTCTTTGCGGTGCCACCACCTTGAGAGAGCTAGCTAGAAAGGTGGCACACTCCATGAGAAAGTTCAGGGCTGAGCATGCATCATGATGAAGGACAACTCTAGTAAGATCAGAAAGCGCAAAAGGGGCACCGAAACGGCAGGACGGTGCAACTCATGCCCGTCATAATTGGGGCAGAAAAGCAAGCAGCGAATGTGCAGGAGCGTTGCAGAGGCAGGAATTCATCAGCGAAAAGCAGGCGGCATGCAGAGCCCTCTGCCGCATTCGCGCGCGCCCCGGCCTGTGCTGTGGCCGCCACCACGAGAGGAACCAATTGAGAATGGCATGGCATGGCATGCTAGGTGTGCAAGCCAAGCAAGCGCCTTCTCTCAGTGCGCCCTCTTTGCTTTGTGTTGTGCGCCAACGGACGACAGCTCGCCGGCCGGGATGAGTGCCGAGGCTTCACTCCTCAGCTCACCCCAGCTCTGCTGACTGCTACTCCATCCCGGGACACAAGGCCACTCCTCTCGGCTCAGCCATTTCCGTCCTTATTGGGACACCTGTGAGGCGTAAATGGAAAATCTGAGCCGATGATTGCCGTGACTGAGCACCGCAGAATTACCGGTGATCCGTACGGGCGTGCGCTGTCACTCACCGGGACGTGGAACTAGGAGGTGATTTGGAGGAACGGAGATCCAGTTGCAGATCCACACATCATTTTTAGAAGCGCAACACGCCCAGCCATCATGATGTAACATTTCCTGGGTAGTATTTAGGTGAGGTAGTTATTTTTGTATTGGATTAGCTCGAGTTGTTTGCAGTTTTCTAGCACGGTGAGCACGTCACAAGTGTGCCTAGCCTAGCGAAGCAGGCTGCTACCTACGTGTAACGTGCCTCGTGGAAAATGGGCACGCAAATTATTTCCCGGCGACAATTTTGCTCGAACAGGGGGCGGTGCTCTACGCTACTCCACCTTGCTAGTTTAGTTTTGGTGCGCTCCTGGGATAAGAGTACAGTTTACAATCTACTCCTTCACTCCACTCCACCTCACTTCACTTCAGTCTTGGAGTAGAAATCATGAAAGGAAAAAGTCCATTTTAAACCTTGAACTCGTAGAGGTTCGACGAAATGAACCCTCAAGTCAAAATCCCGGTCGATTGCACTCTAAACTATGCAATCCCGGTCTAAATCGAACCTTCGGGTTGTTTGGATGGCCGGGATTGGCGTCATCCGCAGAGGACTCACACCTGCTCAACGCTGGGCTGGCCCGCTTTTTTTTTTGTCAAGAAACAAAAATTCGCAAAGGCGCTACACCTTGCTCCCTGTTTAGCCGGCCCGCTTCATATTTTCCGTTAGAAAACAAAACATAAGCTCACGGTGTGGCGCTGGTGTTGTTTGATCGATGCAACGGCAATCCCTGTGTGACGCTCGTTTTTTTTTTTGAGGGGTCCCTGTGCGACGCTCGTCTTCGTCAAGACGGTGTGGCTTCGCGAAGCTTCGCCTCGCAACAGCCCCGTTTGGGCCGGCCCAGACTTGTCCGCTGCTGCCTCTCTGTTTCTTCTGTTTTCTGTTTCTGTTTCTTTTCCTTTTTCTGTTTCTTTTCTTTTTTCTGTTTCTGTTTATTTTTTTCCTATATTTTTATTTTTTATTTCTATTGTTTCGATTTTATTATAATATACAAAGTTCATTGCATGTTACAAAAATGTTCATCGGTATATTAAGGAAATGTTCATGGTTCTTTACAAAAGTTCATCATCCATTACAAAACTGTTCAACATTTATTAGAAATTGTTCAATGAATATGTAATCACAGTGTTTTTGAAATTTATTAAGGTCATATTACACAAATGTTCAATGTGTATTAAAAAATTGTTCAACATATATTACATAATGTTCAATGCGTATTCAAAATTTGTTCAGAGGATATATTCGTATGTCTAAAAAAATATTCATGTTTAAAAAAAATTGTTCAGAATGTTTTTGTTCCATTTTTTGGTAACTTTTTAGAGAAATGTTTGGGATTTCAAAAAAATAGTTCTGTTTAAACAAATCAATTTTAAAAATGTCGTGTGCTCTAATTTAAAAAATGTTTGTGTTTTCATAAAAAATCAGGAGTTTAAAAGTTATTCCCGTTAAAAATTATTTGCAAATTTTCAAAAACGTTCATGTTTTAAAATTTTGTTTGGGAGTTTTAAAAAATGTGCATGTCCCAAAAGTTTATTTGAATTTTCCAAATTTATTATGGTAAATCTGTTCACGAATTTGAAAAGTGGTCGCTTTTCATAAAACACTCAAGTTCTTTTAAAATGTTTTGCATTTGAAATTTTAAAAAATATCCGAATATTTTTTATTTAAAAAATATTCAAATCTGGTGATGATTCTTATTGTTTTGTGCTTCTGGAAAACAAGTTTGCTCACCCGCAAAAAAAGAAAAAGAAAAACAAATTTGCTTGCTAGCTCAACTGGTTGCAACCGCACCTGTAGCTGCAAGCTCGCGCGAGTTCCGCTTTTGCGTACTTTTTTTTTAGCAAAACAGGAAGCCCGTATTTTTTTCAACTTATACAACCGCAACTGGTACTACTTGATTTGGTGTTGGTTCGTAACTTGTCAAGCCCGTATTTATTTTTAGCGTTACACAAGCTCGCTCGAGTTCCGCATGTGCGTACTTTTTTTTGAGCAAACAGAAAAACAAATGGGCTGGCGCCCTGGTAAACATTGGCGCTCCTTGTCCCACCAGCCAGACAAATCCCGATTAACACTTGCCAGGGTTTAATTTAGACCGGAATTGCATAGTTTAAGGTGCAATCGACCGGGATTTTGACTTCAGGGTTCATTTCGCCGAACCTCTACGAATTTAGGGTTTAAAATGAACTTTTTTCAATCATGAAATACAGACGTGAATTGGTCATCTGATCTGGCCGCCTGGGGATGTGATCGCACCTGATCTGACCGGTCACCGCTATTTACTCCCGGCCCCTGCCTCCGCGCCTCGGTCGCTCGACCCGACCCGATCCACCGCGCAGCCCAGAGACTCGCCCTCGCGGATAAAAGGCGCGAGACCTCCGTCCCCTCACCGGTTAAGCCAACTCCATCTCCAACCCCCACCACCCCACCGAGCCAAAGCCTCCTTCCACCCGTCGTCCACCGTGATGTCATCCTCTTTCACGGCTCCCCCGCCGCGGCACGCCGACGACCCCGGCACCTCCGTGGGCTCGTGCATCCTCATCATCCTCGGGCTCTTCGCCTTCGTCTTCGTCGCCTCCTGCTCCATCAGCGCCTGCCTCGGCCGCCGCGAGCGCGACCGCTCCAGCCGCACGCGGCCGTCTCCCCCGCCGTCGCCGCTGCCCGGGACGCACCGCCAAGACGACGACTGGACGGCGGAGGGGAAGAAGGATCTGATCGAGTCGCTGCCCCGGTTCACGATGGCGTCCGCCCTGGCGGCGCTGCCCAAGAGCTCCCCGGACTGCGTCGTCTGCCTCTCGCCCTTCAGGCCCGAAGCCGAGCTGCGGCTGCTCCCGGCGTGCCGCCACGCGTTCCACGCCGTCTGCGTCGACGCCTGGCTCCGCACCACCCCGACCTGCCCGCTCTGCCGCGCCACCGTCGCGCCCCCGCACCCCTCCATCGCCGCCCTCCTCGCCGCCGAACAGCCGCCGCCGCCGCCGGAGCCTGCTGCCGCGAGGGGCAGGGACCGCTCCAGGAGGTTCCGCGTCGAGATGGGCAGCGTCAGCAGCCGCGGCGGGTCGCCCGCCACTTCCACCGCCAGCGACGACAGCCGCACCTACTCGCTCGGATCCTTCGAGTACCACATCGACGAGGAGGTCGAGGCCGTCGTGTCCCGCATGGTGCGCGCCGCGGCCAGGGCCGACACCATCAAGGACGAGAAACCAGCAGCCCAGGTGTCGCCGTCGCCGTCGCCGCCCGGCGAGGCGGTGGCCGAAGCGGCAGGGACGCCGCCGCGCGGATGGCTGCGGGAGTACATGGACCGCGTGGCCTCCTCGGCGTCATCCTTCTCCTACTCCTTGTCGGCCCGGTGGAGCCAGAGCCAGCAGGGCCAAAGGCAGGAGGAGCCGTGGTTGTGGGACGCAGAGGCGGCAACAGTGCCGCCGCCGCCGCCGCCGCCGGGGTCGGACGAGGAGGTGGAGACGACGTTCATGGTGCTGTACCGGTGGATCGCCGCCGTCTGAACTGAACATAATGAGTGAAAGTGCCGGGGGCCGTCGTCAGGTCAGGTGATCCAATGTTTTGGAAGCTTCTGTTGACCCTGGCACAGAATGTAGGTGCACATAGGAGTTCGGATCTTGGAACCTGAGCAGAGAATTGCAGGCAAGGGTAGATTTGTTCCTTTCTTTTCTCTAGACTAGTTTTTACCTTGCCATGGATGTAGCTGTGCCATGGAGTATGTGCGTGTGTGTCGCGACTAGCAACGTGTCAGTCTAGGTGCCACCATGCAGTCTTTGCCTCAAGGGCAGACGGGGAAATGGTGCTGAAAATTGGGATCAAAATCCCTTGGATTGGTTGGCTCTACTCTTGCAATGTTATAATATCGTATATCTAATATCGGATTCTTAGGGTTAAAAGTAAATGCAATTGATATCCGTCAGGAGAACTAGACAGTAATCTAGTGACAAGGGTCGCAGTGACGCACCATGCGCCCATAGTTCGACTTAGGCCGGAGCGGATTTCTGGCGCCTTATCCGGATGAGCTCTATCTATAAAATATGTCATGGGTTCTAATGCTCACATATCTAGTTTTTTATTGATATCCGTCGGACTGGCGAAGGGCATGAACTTCTAATGCTCACATATCTAGTTTTTTATTGATATCCGTCGGACCGGCGAAGGGCATGAACTGATTACTGAATTTATTCACTATATTCTTTGAATGTGGTGATGATCAATTCGAATGCCTTGGGTCGAAACAACATTGATGCCCGTCATGCTTAGTAAACAGCATCTCAGGGTTCAGATCTTGGAACCCTGTGCAAAGAATTGAAGGGCAAGGGTAGATTTGTTCTTTTATGTAGACTAGTTTTATCACAGATGTAGTTGTG